TTTTTGGCCATGGGGAATGAACAACATGCGGTTTAATTGGCAAAATTTGGCTGCCATAAAATCTGGGTAGATGATACATGGGGAGTTTGATGGACAAAAAATTGGGGAGCATTTTGCCCGTCAAGATCTTGAAAAACAAACAACATGGATTCTGCCCAACATGAAGGTGTAATCATGCAAACACAGTAGAATGCAGTACTAGTTTTTGTTGGGGAAAATATATATTCAATATATTTTTAATTTATATTTAATATATATATAATATAATATATTATAATATTATATATTATAATATTATATATATACATAATATACATATATATATACATAATATATATATATGTGTTTTATACTGCAACTTATTATAGGGATAGCTATTTGCCAACAGTTCATGGATTCCATGGTCGGCCGTTTGGGGTCGAAGATTTTTCTGGGACTAGGGGGATGGTTTTCATGTCCCCAGCTTTCTTCGCATGGATATGAGCCATTGGATCACCGGCCCTGCATATTAATATATGTAACAGATTATATATATATATAGAGGTTAGGTTAACTATGGTTTATGGATGTTTATGACTTTTATGGCATATATATATATATACTGGTTGGTGGTTTGGAACATGTTTTTCCCCACCTGCCAGGTGAGGGTTGTTAGATTTTATGTCAGTTGCCTCCTCCTCCTTCTCCTCCTCCTCCTTCTCCTCCTCCTCCTGCCGCCTCCTCCTGCCTCGTCCTCCTCGTCCTCCTTGTCATCCTTGTCGTCCTGCTCAACTGCGACTCGCGATCCACAGTGTTCGCTGTCGGACCTCAACCACGACCATCCACGCCCAGTGTTCCCTGCCGGACCTCAACCACGACCATCCACGCCCAGTGTTCTCTGCCGGACCTCAACCGCGAGTATCCACGCCAAGTGTTCCCTGCCGGACCTCAACCACGACCATCCACGCCCAGTGTTCCCTGCCGGACCTCAACCACGACCATCCACGCCCAGTGTTCTCTGCCGGACCTCAACCGCGAGTATCCACGCCAAGTGTTCCCTGCCGGACCTCATGTAGGAAGATAAAATGTCAGATAGAGTGCCAGAAGATTTGCCAGGTAGAATGCCAGAAAATATGCCAGATAGATATGCCAGAAGATATTCCAGAAGATATGCCAGATAGAATGCCAGATAGAATGCCAGAAGATATGTCATAATATATGCCAGAAGATATGCCAGATAGAATGCCAGAAGATATGTCAGATAGAATGCCAGAAGATATGCCAGATAGAATGCCAGAAGATTTGCCAGATAGAATGCCAGAAGATATGCCAGATAGAATGCCAAATAGAATGTCAGAAGATATGTCAGATAGAATGCCAGAAGATATGCCAGATAGAATGCCAGAAGATTTGCCAGATAGAATGCCAGAAGATATGCCAGAAGATGTGCCAGATAGAATGCCAAATAGAATGTCAGAAGATATGTCAGATAGAATGCCAGAAGATGTGCCAGTAAGAACATGTATAAATGTCATGGTGGGGATCACACGAAGTAAAGTAATTATTTTTTCCATATATTGGGAATAGTAACGCCAACTGACTTTCATATTTTTCAGAGGTGTTGAAACCACCAACCAGTATATATTAATGAATGAACTGGGTTCGTTTGGAACTGGGGATTGTATCCCCAAAATCCGCTGAAGACGGACGACCCGAGGTGAAGGGAAGCCCTACTTGGGTCTTACCGGATCTTTGCTAAAGGAGTACGCTGTAGAAGCGGCGAAGAAGGCGGGTCGGCTGAAAAAATGATGTTCTCCTTGTGATAATGATGTCAATTAGAAGGAGAATGACAGGGATAAATCATCTTACTGTCAAGGTAATCCTTGTCATTGTGGTTTCAAAGACAGTGATACGTTCGATGATTGTTGAGTTTGAGCATCTGAGTTGACGAATATTTTGAGGTCGGTTGAAGCCGCAAACCAGCTACGCCTGTGGTCAGTTGCATACCTCTATCCCCGGTAGAATGCCCCGTTCAGTTCCCCACAACATGTTGCTTATTAAGTCGGCTCCCACTTTTCTCATCTTTCTCTCCATAATGTTTTGTCCTTCATCATCCCAATCCCCACCTCCCCCTCATCCTTCTTTAGTTGCATACCCTCTGGTAAACGTTTACATAACGAACTGGAAAATCCACCCATTTTTAATGGCTAAATCTGGCTAAATCCACTATGTCTATGGCCATTTTCAATAGCTCACTGTTAGTTTACCAGAGGGTATCTGTCATACATCATATATTTCCCATAAATCACCAGAGTTTCCATATATTTCCCATATATTCCCATTAAAACCTCCAAAGTAAAGTTAAATCCCCATGTTGAGATCCCAAGCTAAGCATCCCCCAAGAACTTCCTAAAAATTCCACGTGGGAATCCCTACGTCTGTTTTTTTGGGGATCCCCATGTCAGTTGCCAGCCATCCATGAAGAAGCCAGTTCCCAAGCAATTTTCCCATCTGAACAGTTCAGTATGTTCAGTTGATATGTTATGATTCAATCCCCATGATCCTTGGTGAACTTCCGCAGATTTCTATGATTTTCTTTGAGTTTCATTGATTTTCTGTGTCATTCGCTCAGCATTTTCCCACTTGGAGCCTCCCAGAGATCGTAAGTGGGTAGTAACCCTGGTGATTGGATTCGTACCCGATTCCTAAGTTTATCGTGCAGGGTGGTGCCCCAGTTCGTTGGCTAAGTTGGCAAACAATGGTAAACATAAGTCCAATAACTAGGGCGGTTTAGGCGGGGCTTATACCTACAATGTGCGTGAAGCAATGTCGTAAACCATCCATATTTTGATGGTGAGTCATTGGAGATGGTTAGATCATCTATTTCCTTACCAACATTTTCGTATTCTGGGGATTGTGTTTACCAACACATCATGGTAATCATAGGTCCACCCCTAGGGTTTAAGGGGTGGTTATATCCTGTTATAATATTAGTATATATTAGTTATATCATATCTATTAATATCTATAGTATTCTTCGGATTATAAATCAACATCAACCAACATCAACCAGCAACCGGCCTGGCCCAGCCAGGAGAACCTGCTTCGCAAGAGCCTCCAAGACGGCAGCGCTGCGCCCGTTGCGCCGGCGCCCGGAACGGCTCCGGCCGTGGCGCCGCGCGGGCGCACGACCTCCCTGGACTCGACCGGTGGATCGCTGCAGCGGACGAACTCGGCCACGCAGACGGTGGAGTGGATGCTGGGACGGAAAATCACCATCTGGGACCGGTGGTTTGGAACATGGCTTTTATTTTGTTCCATATATGGGGAATAATAATCCCAACTGACATATTTTTTTTTGAAAATCACCATTGTTCAATATGTTTCAAGGGTAAATCAACTATGTCTATGGCCAGTTTCAATAGCAAACTGTTAGTTTATCAGAGGTAAATCAAATACCACATCTTTAAAACTGTTCCCTCCAACCCGGACGTTGCTCCACACTTACGATCGTCATGATCATCATCATCATCATCATCATCGTCATCGTCATCATCACATTAAAATTCGCCACCTCCTCTGAACAACATGTTGACTGGGGTAATAACATCAACTTTATCGTCATGAGGGATCAAAATTTGCCACCCCCTCTGAACAATACGTTGATTGGGGTAATAACATCAACTATATCTCCATGAGGGATCAAAATTCCCCACCCCCTGTGAAGAATATGTTGATTGGGGTAATAACATCAACTTTATCTACATGAGGGATCAAAATGTGCCACCTCCTATGAACAATATGTTGGCTGGGGTAATAACATCAACTTTATCTCCATGAGAGATCAAAATTTGCCACCTCCTATGAACAATATGTTGGTTGGGGTAATAACGTCAATTTTATCTTCATGAGGAATCAAAATTCGCCACTCCCTATGAACAATATATTGATTGGAGTAATAACATCAACTTTTCCTTCATAGCCACCTGAAGTCAGACGCGGCTTAACGTCAGGGTTGCAGCGAAATTGTTTAATGGGGAAGTAAATCATCATAAGTCATCATTGTTCAGAGGTAAATCTCTGTATCATATTGTCACTAATAGGTATTAAGATATTTAATCCCATATGGGATGATTAACAATTTATATTAATCCCATATGATCTATGATGATTTACTAATTCACGAATAGGATCTAATAGGTATAAGTAAATCATCATAGATCTGGGATTAAATGAGCCATTGGACTAATGGGATAACCATAGGATCTTCGCGGACTCTTTTACAAGGGATGATCCTCCAAGTACTCTCTGAGCCGAACAGCCGAGTGAACGGTAAAAAGATCACCTTATTTTTGATAGGTAAAAATTTAAATCCAGAAAATCATCTATGTTCATGGGTCATTTTCCAAAACCAGAGGGTACCATCCCTTAGACTAATTATCTAACATCAATTAACATCAATGGTGATTAATTGGTGATTTAATGGATGTGGGGATTCTTTTTTCACCTTAGCAACGAGTGGGAGAAAAAAACAACGAACATGGGGATTGAAAATGACTGAACCGAGGATTGTAAAAACACTGCTGGGATTTTGACGATCAGAACTCAGTGAAATTGTCCACATGCTGAACTGAAATTACAATCATAATAAATATTATACATATATATTTATATATAAGAATAATGGTAAAATAAAACCTATAACTATAATTTTAATCTACAGCCCAAGAAAAAGGATACATCAATATATATATATATAAACTCCGCGGGGGTTCTAGGCAAAAAAGATCAATTGTGCAAGATAGGGACATAGCCAGCAATTTCGTTGAGTTGCCGGAAATACGTATGTTATCGTTATGTTATCGTTATTTTATCGTTATTTTTGATCTTAACAATGGCCTTATGTCGTTAAAAAGTGTTCTTCTACCTTCGAATCGAAGGGATTTTTTGCTCCCCAACTGCTGTCGGACTGCTGATTTTCGATGTTGAATGGATGTTGAATGGATGTTTGTTGGTCACGAAACCCAGAAAATAACCATGAACCCCAAACATTCCAAAAAAGGGTGGTCACCGCAATGTGGCTTGGTCGAGGAAAGATCAATTGCCTCCTCTGCCAAGAAGACCTTCGAAGACAGCTGTTCCGGTGTCGGCCGCAGGAGCAACCAGATCCCAGGAGTTCATCCCCGAAAATTCACTCAGAAACACCATGGTGAAGTCCCAAGTTGTCCCAAGGTCCCAATGATGAACTTTTTGGCTCGAAAATCGCCAAGCAATTGCAATTTCTGGCATATTTCTACAAAGTGGTGGGTTTATGGTACCTATAACTATAGTATTCATGGGGTTTATAAACCATCTTATAATAACTTATAACTGGGGGGCCTCACTTTCTATCTGTTTTGTCATGAAAAATTATTTGCTGTCCAACTCTATCTGGCCCATTTCTATCCAACCGTTGTGGGCTAGGTGAAATTCCCCCGGTCCTCCAGCCTGGCTTTTTTGAACCGATGCCCGGCTGACAGGAGTTGTCAACGATATTGACAGTTTGGCTATGGCCTCTTTGATGAGGATTTATTGGGAATGGGTCCTCTGGTAATTTAACATAACTATGGAAAATCACCATTTTTAATGGGAAAATCCACTATCCTGCTAATTTTTAATCAACGATTAATGGCCCAGTGATTACTTTCTTGAAACCAGGGTTTGCAAAATGGAAGCTGCGTATTATGCTGGGGGATGCTGGAAGCATTTGAGAGGTGAGAAAGATTAAAGTTGGAAAACTGCCACTCAAAATTGTGATGGAATTAATGGTTGCAATTTTCGCACCATCCTTTGATAGAATTTCTGGTCATTGACGCGTTCATCGGACTTCTGTTTGGGCTACTTCCAATGGTGGTTGCGGCCGACTTCTCCCCGTTGGGGATTGTGATACAAGCAGAACAGCCGGTGTCATCCAGGGTTGACATTCTATATTGTCTATTATATGTTGCACATGACGTGCATGTAGAGATATATAGATATATACAAATAATTATATATATAACATGTATGATTATATTATAGAATGACATATATATATATATATCGTGATATCATGTTATTTTACACACACAATACATATATATATATACATATATAGACATATATATATATTCAAATACTTCAGCATCTAACCCCTCGACTGTCACCTAGCTCAACGTGGAGGTCCTGGAACTGATGCAGTCCAAAGTCAACGATGAGCGCCTCCTGGCGCCATGAATTCATCGCTCCGGATGGGGTTAACATGTGGGGTTAATGATGGTTAACAGTGGTTAACAGTGGCTAAGAATGGCTAATAATGGTTAATAACTGGTAAATGATGGTTAAGAATGGCTAATAATGGTTAATAACTAGTAATAACTAGTAAATGATGGTTAAGAATGGCTAATAATGGTTAATAACTAGTAATAACTAGTAAATCATGGTTAAGAATGGCTAATAATGGTTAATAACTAGTAATAACTAGTAAATCATGGTTAAGAATGGCTAATAATGGTTAATAACTGGTAAATGATGGTTAAGAATGGCTAATAATGGTTAATAACTAGTAATAACTAGTAAATGATGGTTAAGAATGGCTAATAATGGTTAATAACTAGTAAATGATGGTTAAGGATGGCTAATAATGGTTAATAACTGGTAAATGATGGTTAACAATGGCTAACAATGGTTAATAGCTGGTTAATAATTGTAAATGATGGTTAACAATGGCTAATCATGATGGTTAATGGTGGTTAATGGTGGTTAGTAATGGTTAATAACTGGTTAATAATGTTAAATGATGGTTAATAATGGTTGATAACTGGTTAGTAATTGTTAATAATGGTTATTAATGGTTGACCCAGTTATTAACAATGACTAAGGGTGGGGTCAATGATGGTTTTAACGGTTTAACAATACTATAACATCGGTTGATAACGGTTGAGAATAGTGGGTTAATGATCGTTAGTACTGGTGTGTTTTTGTTTATAGTGGTTAATGGTTGAAATTCTGGCCAGTTTAATCCTGAATCATCATCTTTTGCAATTTTGATATAGGAATATCTATTGACACCAGCTAACAGCTAATTCATTTTTGCATGGTATCTAAGATTTGGAATTTGCCACTAATTAGCCCTTCATTTTTTCCCTAAAAGAACAACATTGCAGCGGGTATCCCACATGTATTGACGGACGGGGGATCATTTTGGCCTGAGGGATCCACACCTCAGGGCCTCAGGGTCCCTGTTCATGAAAATTGGGATCCAGTTTCAGACACTCCCATCATTTTAAGGTTTATTGAGATATTTGCATTATATATATATAAATATATGATTATAGATGTATATATCATATGATTTGTATATATATATATATGCATAATATATATATATATATATAGATAGATAGATATGTATATATCTATGATATACACCCTTTATCCCCAATGTGATCCATGACTTTTGAGATTCCACAATGTGGTGCGCTCCGCTGAAAGCAGCGACCAGGTCTACAACGTGCCTGTTTGATGGCCATCACACGACTTTCCAAGGACGGCAGGGGACGAAAAGGGTAAAGTTCCACGGAAAAAATGGGGGATACGCTCCGAAATTTCATATGAATAATGGGTTCAAATATCTACATATATATTAAATGACATAATCAAGTATTTACACATTGAGTAATAAATTGTACTATGTAAATTCTACCGTTTGAAAATGGTAAATTGGCATCGATTCCATGATGTTTGTATGAACATTCTGTATACCCCTGAGTTCATCCACTCGTGAAGCGAAGGGCGTATTTTTCTGTGTGGAATTCCTCACCGTTGCCCCAGTTCGTAACGTATCAAGTTGATTGGTCATCTAGATAAATCCCATAGGAAATTCCCAGTGCGTAAATCACCCAAAATCCCATAGTAATCCTAACCAATCCCTGTGGATTGCAGGATGTGGTGTCCTTGAGACCTCTCTGTTTGGGCGTCATTTCGGCCATTGCTCAATCCGCGGCGCGGGGGTCGCTTGTCTCGGTGGTTTTCTGACTGTGGATGTGTCTGAAAATGGGGTATACCGGTATTACCGTATACCTCCAATTATGCTGGTTGGTGCTTTGGAACATGGCTTTTATTTTTTCATATTGGAAATTTCATCATCCCAAGTGACGAACTCATATTTTTAAGAGGGGTAGGTCAACCACCAACCGGATAATGATGATCAACCATTGGATTTTACCACATGGGTTGTCAGAAAGTGGCCAGGGAAGGCTACTCATGCACCGACAATGATGGGCAGTGACCACAGATATGTTGGTGTATTAATAGTAATGGTCTTGCGTTTTTTTGAAGGAAGTTCCAAATTTTTAAGTATTCCCATCGAAAGTGTATACATCATCATTCAAACCACCTTTAAAAAACGATGGATATAGATCTTTTTTTGCATTTCTTTGCACCCAATGTTCCTCTCTGGCCGGGTACCCGGAGGCTTTACTTGTGGGTCCACTAGCCCCGCAAATCTTGGAGGCAAAATCCCAGTTCCTCTGGAGGCCAATCAAATTTAATCTCCATGCATCTTGTTTTCCGCGGCGGTTTTGGGTCTTGTAGTTTGATTTTTATTGCAATAAAGGCACAGATCTTCACAAAATAAACAAACACTTAATGGAACGATGTCTATAGAAGGGTTTTCCCATCTCGTGATATCTCACGTCATCTTATTGTTGGTCGATTCTATATATTCTCACACACCTCAATTATTTGGTTGCAGTTGCTGGCATATCTTACTACATTGTAGTCCCCATTTTCTGTGTTTAGAATCTTAGAATCGAGAATTTGGTGGATAATATGAACTAATTAGTTTCTAAGTCAAATTTGCCCAGTTAATAATTTGGTCAATCTTACAATATTGGTTCAACAAAGAACTCAGAATCTCCGGAATATGTCCCATGATTAACCGTTATGAATGATTATTAACAACTATTAACCACCATTAACCACTAGTAACCACTGTTAACCACTATTAACCACTAGTAACCACTGTTAACCACTGTTAACGTCCCATGTTTTGCGACCTGTCATTTTGCTCCAAGGCGTCAGGATTTGACCTTGCAGAGGATGGCGGTCTCCGCGTTATCCAGCGGCCCGGCAGTCACATCATGGAGAATTCATGGATGATTAATGGATGATAATCCACACTATTAGATATGGATAATAACCACACTATTAGTGGATTTTAAATGGTTATTACATATGATCAGATGACCAGATGATTATTATTAATGGTTATTAACGGTTAAAATCACCAACCAGATGATTAATGGATGATAAATAAGCAATGATCTATAGTTATTATATGTTATTATTGGACTATTAACGGTTTAACTCTATTATTAGTGGGTTATTAGTGGATGATTAATGGATTTCCCATACTATATTGGGATAATTTTCCATAATATATATATATACACATTCAAGATGGTTAAAACCACCAACCAGATGATTAATGGATGATAAATAACCAATGATCTATAGTTATTATAGTTTATCATTGGACTATTAACGGTTTAAGTATATTATTAGTGGGTTATTAGTGGATGATTAATGGATTTTCCATAATATATTGGGATAATTTTCCATAATATATGTAAATACATTCAAGATGGTTAAAACCACCAACCAGATGATTAATGGATGATAAATAATCAATGATCTATAGTTATCACTGGATTATGAGTGGTTTAACTATATTATTATTGGATTATTAGTGGATGATAAATGGATGATGATTAGTTCATGAATGAAATTGATGCTGTTGATAACGGTTGATAACTGGATCATTATTAGCGTAACTATATTGATGCTGTTGATAAATCATGACGAATCCACTTTTTCAACTATCATCAACCATCATGATTGGTTCCATATAGTAACTGTGGAAAATTGATGATAAATGGATTATATAGTAACTATATTGATGCTGTTGATGCTATAACTATCATATCTGGTTCGGAAATGATCTACAATATTGGTTATTGATCCACTAGCGGATGATGATAGTTATGATATGACAGTAGATTATTAGTGGTTATTACATAATCCGCACTATAGTACAATGACGGACCAGCACTTAGAATATAAAACCTTAAGATTTGCTTAGCTGAGCTAAGCCGCTCTTCGGGGAATAGGGTTTTCAGAGCTAGGCCGAGAACCTTGGTCTTAGAATATGGGCCCATGCACTTAGAATATGGCCACTGATGTCAGAAGAACCGATATCATGTTCATCGCGCCGCAAAGATCATGCTCCGGACTCAATCTCATGGTTTTTGTATGTGTTGCATTATTTTTTGGTCGCTATACTGTGCTGGCTGCAGGCAGTGCAGTACTGTACTGCATACACATGCAACATTGCACATATATCATATGTTCATATTCTATCTGCATATGTTGTTTGCATATTCTATCTGCTGTTTGGGGTCTTAGATACCTTAGTTTTTTGTTCATATTCTATCTGTGAGCTAAGAATTTTTCATATTCTATCTCCTGGTCTGCTTGAGTAATAGTTCCATTTATTAGTGGATGATAAATGGATGATAAATGGATGATGATTAGTTAATAGATGATGTTTTCATATCTGGGATTATAAATGGAAACATATACTATAGTAGATTTTAGTAGATACTATAGTAGATTTTAGTAGTGGTTCCTACATGTTATTACCACATATGATTCATCGATTATGTTTGAGTATTGAATATGCGAGCAGTGTTCAAAAGCCTTGTTGGTTGATTATTAGGGAGATTTTACTAAGCAATATAGTGGAGATGATCATAATCCATTAAAAGAATCGCTAGTAAGATCACTATTTCAGCAGGATATCTTATACGGTCTTATCTTTTTTGGTGGCTACTAAATACAGAAAACAACGCGTTGGTCGTTTCAAACGGTGGCGGGCAGCGCCTTAGGCGTGGCTTATGCGCACGACGTGGCTGCCCTGGTGGCGCCTCTGGCCCTACCTGTGGTGATCGAGGCGAAGTTATTGGGGATGAAGTTCTAGTTATTGTTAATGGTAAACTAACATAGCTATGGAAAATCACATTTGTTTAAGGCAAATCAATTATAAATGGCCAGGTTCAATAGCTATGTTAAATTACCAGAGGGTCATCCGCATAGAAAATGGGAAACCGATGGAAAACCAAGCTGTTTTCTGAGTTGGAATTTGGAATGATGATATGTTTGTCTAATGTTTAAGTGTTTTAAGGTAGATTGTTCAAGTGTTTACGTGTTTAAAGCTAGATGTTGGATACAGTTTTTTGTTCCCGAGAGCGCCTGCGAAGGGTTCTTCGTAAAAAAGCAGCCGTTATACTACATCTTCACATCTTCACATCTGCTGATCTAGATCTTCACACCTTCACATCTGCAGATCTACATCTTCACACCCTCATACCTGCAGATCTACATCTTCACACCCTCATACCTGCAGATCTAGATCTTCACACCTTCACACCTGCAGATCTAGATCTTCACACCCTCACATCTGCAGATCTACATCTTCACACCCTCACACCTGCAGATCTACATCTTCACACCCTCACATCTGCTGATCTACATCTTCACCCCTCACATCTGCAGATCTACATCTTCACACCCTCACATCTGCAGATCTACATCATCACACCCTCACACCTGCAGATCTAGATCTTCACACCTTCACACCTGCAGATCTAGATCTTCACACCTTCACATCTGCAGATCTAGATCTTCACACCTTCACACCTGAAGATCTACATCTTCACACCCTCACACCTGCAGATCTACATCTTCACACCCTCACATCTGCAGATCTAGATCTTCACACCTTGGCACCTGCAGATCTAGATCATCACACCCTCACATCTGCAGATCTACATCTTCACACCTTCACACCTGCAGATCTAGATCTTCACACCCTCACACCTGCAGATCTAGATCTTCACACCTTCACATCTGCAGATCTCCTCTCGCTCTTCTTCTATTCTCTCTTAAGGCGGGGGCGGTGCCGCCGGAGCGCCACGAAACGCAACCCTTTCGCACGAAATGGACGTTGGACGTCAAACACTGAGGAAAAATTGCGACTTTGAGGTGTCCCGCGCAACCCTTACGCACGAAATGGACGTTGGACGTCAAAAACTGAAGAAAAATTGCGACTTTGAAGCGTCGCGCGCAACCCTTTTGCACGAAATGGACGTTGGACGTCAAAAACTGAGGAAAAATTGCGACTTTGAAGCGTCGCGCGCAACCCTTTTGCACGAAATGGACGTTGGACGTCAAAAACTGAGGAAAAGTTGCGATTGTCATCCGTCGCGCGCAACCCTTTCGCACGAAATGGACGTTGGACGTCAAAAACTGAGGAAAAATTGCGACTTTGAGTTGTCAATCGCAACCTTTACGCACGAAATGGACGTTGGACGTCAAAAACTGAGGAAAAGTTGCGACTTTACTGATTCAATCGCAACCCTTACGCACGAAATGGACGTTGGACGTCAAAAACTGAGGATTCAATCGCAACCTTTACGCACGAAATGGACGTTGGACGTCAAAAACTGAGGAAAAATTGCGATTTTACTTGGTCAATCGTAACCCTTTCGCACGAAATGGACGTTGGACGTCAAAAACTGAGGAAAAATTGCGATTTTACTTGGTCAATCGTAACCCTTTCGCACGAAATGGACGTTGGACGTCAAAAACTGAGGAAAAATTGCGATGGACGCTTTCGTTTCTGTACAAGTGTCTGTGTGTAAAAGCGTCTGTGTGTAAAAGCGTTTGTGTGTGAAAGCGTGTGTGCGTGTGTAAAAAGCATCTGCGTGTAAAAGTGTTTGTGGGTAAAAGCATCTGTGTGTAAAAGGGTCTGTGCGTAAAAGCGTCTGTGTGTAAAAGCTTCTGTGTGTAAAAGCTTCTGTGTGGAAAAGCATCTGTGAGCAAAAGCGTCTGTGTGTAAAAGCGTTTGTGTGTGAAAGTGTGTGTGTGTGCGTCTGTAAAAAAGCATCTGCATGTAAAAGCGTATGTGTGTAAAAGTGTCTGTGTATAAAAGCGTCTGTGTGTTAAAGTGTTTGTGTGTAAAAGTGTCTGTGTGGAAATGCGTCTGTGTGTGTGCGTGAAAAACGTCTCTGTGTGAAAGCGTCTGTGTGTAAAAGTGTTTGTGTGTAAAAGCTTCTGTGTGTAAAAGCGTCTCTGTATAAAAGCTTCGCGTTTCCTCGCGTTCACGGAATGATGGTGCCGAGCCTTTTTCCGCAATGTGTGTGGGAATTACCAGAATAAAATGAGATAGCACATGTCATTCGCAGACTCATGGTACCGAGCCTCCTGTGCACTTTTGTTGCTCACATTACATTTCTCCATGTTTTCTTTCTACCTCCCCCTTTCATTCTCTCTCTCTCTCTCTCTTGCTTTCTCTTTCTCTCTCTCTCTCTCTCTCTTTCTCTCTCTCTCTCTCTCTCTCTCTTTATCTCTCCCCCCCTCTTTCTCTCTGTGGTTGCAAGACACATGTCATCTGATGCCCTTTACCAAATATTCTCTTCTTGATCAATCTTACTTTTTCACACCATATCTTTCCATAGCTCATATAAAATTCACCAACTATTCACCGACTATCTTTTACGACTACCATCCTCAGAGCTGCTTGAAAAACATCTTTTTCGCTCTCGGGCCAACCGTCGTCTAGTTTGATTCTGATATTTTGTGATATGTCCTCACGTTTCTAAGATGATTTTGAGCTTCTGCTGATGATCGTTTCTGAGATTTTTTGGAATGTGTTAAACCCAACAACAGACTATCCGTTTCGAACTTGGGGGTTATGAACTTGGGTATACCATGGTATATGGGATGTTGTAAATGACCCCCAAACTGAATCGATGAATATACAGAAAGTACGAAAGCACCCTCCTGTAAGCTAACATCGATGTGGGAAACCAACCATTTGCAGATTATTTTCCTACGGTTTCGCCATGGGTGTTCCACATCCAAATATGGGTCCAGCGTCCATGAGTTTGTCCAACGGTTTAATTCTGGTTATTTGGGTATGCCCGATTTTCAGACCAAGCCAAGTATTTTAAAACATTATATCAAGTTGATTCTGTCTCCGATTATATCCCAGTATATATCCCATTATGCCCCATTATATCCTCACTATATCCTCATGATGTCCTCATGATATGCTCATGATAGCCCCAAGGTATTCCCAATGTTGTATTCGCACTGTATAATATATACATTATGCATATATATATATATATGAATATATATAATTAATATTCATCTATAATATGTTTTAGTGATATACTATAATATCATATTTAAAAACATACCCTCTGGTAATTTAACATAGCTATTGAAAATGGCCATTTATAGTGGATTTACCCATTGAACTTTGTGATGTTCCATAGTTATGTTAAATTACCAGAGGGTATCCCTGATAAATTCTTGATGGCTGTGGTGATCGTTTGCAGGCGGCTTTGGCGTTCCCGGAAGATGGCAAGTTGCAAAGCAACGCCTGCGAGGTGTCGAGGGTCAGGGTCGGCGTGACCAGTTCGCCACCAAAGATTGGGAGAATATGATGGGCTATATTATGAGTAACAATATATATATATATATTATGAATATATATATATAATATGATTGTATATCATAATGTATATACTATGTATATATATATGATGATGAGATATGTGTTCTTCCACCGGTCACGTAAACAAATCTATTGATTTTCAATCTTTCCTATGGATATCATGTATCGTAAACCGATGGTTTTTCGAAAAACGAACCAACTCCAGCATCTTTTTGGCCATGGATTATTCCATGATTATCCTGTCATCCCAATCGCGTAGTTTAGATATGTCTTTAGTGTATCCCATGGATACATGGATATGTAAGCATATATATATATATATCATGCAGTGTGAATCAGCATGTATAATCCATATTCCATGATATTTTGTCCCTTCTATAGTTAATATATTCCATATATTATCCCTTATGTAGTAGATAACCCATAGATGATACCAATAGATTACCATAGTATTTAAAAAAAGAAAAAATAATCCCATAGATATCCCGGATATCCCATACTATCATCAGTGATTCTATGTTATCCCATATTAATATGATCAATTATATAGTATATAGAGAAAAATGATATTTATCTATACATATACATATATATATTATATATATATATATTTGTCATATATATATATTATAATATGTATATGATATGTAAAAAGTAGATAACCGTAGTAATAGCCATAGTATCCCATCTCTACACGTCACTACGGTGACCGTCTTAACGAGGCCTTTGCGCGCTTGGCGCAGGGCGGGAGCAACCGCGTGGTGACTTCGTCGGTTTTTGTTGACGGTCGATGGATGGGAAGATCAGTTGAAATAAGCAACTTCACTATAATATACATTGTCAATGATTTTCCATCGTGATTGGGATTACTTAGAATCACTTCCAAAGTCGGATTTCCCAGAACTGGATGGGCATATTTTGCAGGTTTTCCTCCTATAATTTTGGCCTCTAAACCTCCCAAAACTTTTAGACACCCAGAGAACTGACATGCTCCAGCTATCTCTGGGCTGAAGCCAAGGTCTATACCATGGTGAAGTATTTGTCCGTGTCCGGAGTCGCTCCTTCCTCAATTTCGCGGCGAGTAATGCTTGGAGACTCCATGAAAAATAGTTTTGTTTCAAGGGACTATCATCATGGGAAGCATTATCAACCAAGACTTTGAAAGATGATGTTCCTCTGAGAAAGGTTTTTTTTGGTCTGGGCACAATTTGTTGGATTTCGGGACTGTGGAAGTGTCACTGAGGTCTTCCAAGTTCTTTGTGATGCCTTGCAAAGGCGCACAGCTGGGAAAGAATTTTGGTAACCCGACCCGCCATAATCATTCACGATTTACCAATAGCACTTTGTAAATCGAATATGGAATATGGATGAATATGGCCTATACATGGTTTCCATTGATGAGATGATGATATGATGATATGGCAAAGGTTGGTTGTTGAGAAAGGGGATGGCACTCCAATTTTTTTCGAAGCCGGAGGCTCTGCGAGAACCATATTTGTGCGGGCACTCAACTGCCGGATTTCTTTGGATGGCAACCTTGGAAACCAGATTGATCAACCGAAACAAACGAATGTACATGATATAACTGATTGGTTTGCCAGATATAACATGGTATAACTGATAGTCTCCTTAACTAGATACAACTCTAGTTAACCCTGCCTGAAAAAAGCCAGTGAATTTTAAGCAAAGCAATTCCACACCAATCACTTCCAGTTGCAAGTTGAATATCTTTCCATAAAGGGGTGAGAAAACTATCATGTGATATCTCATGGCTTTTCATGGCTTTTTCCCATTGTTTTTTTTCAGCCAGAAATGGCGTTACCACGTGGAGCACTGCAGCGAGGTCAAGGACATCATGTCTTGGACGAGTTGATTAAGCTGAGTGATGGCGATCCCAGTAACCTGGAGCTGTCGGGAATCTCAGACGATACGAACCGGAGCTAAGTTTTTTGGATAAAAGGTGATGAAGCTGTCTGTTCAGGTTGATATTGATGTTGATATATATATATATATATATCGTTATGTGTATAAATGTTTGTATGGTGATATATATATATATATGTATAGTTTACATATGTTATATATGTAATATATATATATACGTAATATATATATATGTATGTGTATATATATATATATAACTGGAAAAAAACTCATATTTAACCAGAGAGTTTATGGGTAATGTTCAGACAGCCCCCCCGTTGTGGCCATATGTGGCGTTTTTCATGCGATGAATTTCTGGACCTGATGATTTCACCCGGTTCAACAGTTAGCCTCTGGTAATTTGAGATTTCCTAATGATTTTCATAGTGATTAATGGTATATGAATGGGATAATGGTGGGTTAATAATGGTTAATAATGGGATGATAACGGGATTTATATAATGATTTAATGGGACTAAAAATAGTGATTCAATGGGATATTAATTTAATGGGATATACTCTCTGGTAATTTTTAACATAACTATTGAACATGGCCCACAGAAATAGCTGATTTACCTATTTGAATCAGTGATTTTAGCTATGTTAAATTGTCAGAGGCTATATAATCAATTTACATCTACTATGGATCCCCAGTGTCTGCGCCCACAACTGTGCTGCAAGATGCTGCAAGGCAACGACGTGTGGCTCTGTCTTTAAACAGGCCATGGGTGGACACGGACGATCTGCCGGCTGCAAGGGGTCCACTGCACAGCACCACACCGACGCGACAGGTTGTCCTCCAGCGTCATCAGTCCTGTACCTTGGCCATGACCCAACTTTTCAGCTTGACATCTGAATTTGATTCAGCCTGATTCAGCCAGATTTTTTTTTTTGGTAAATATATATATATATTTATATATTTATATAGATATATTACGTTGTATCCTCCAAACTGTTGCTTCATCTTCTAGTTTTTGTGTGTGTGTTGTAGTTCATGCCTACGGGTTGAAAACCGAACCAGCGTTTTGTAGGTTTTTTTGAAGTCTTCATATGATATAGTGGGGTGGGGTGGGGTGGGGTAATAACATACATGCTACGCTGCTGCAAGATCTCTTGCACTTTCATATATACGTCACGCTATGCTGCGGCAAGTTCTCTTGCACTTCCATACATACCTACATACTACGCAAACAAAAAGAATCAAGCACTTGTGAAGAACAAAGAGTGAAGAAAAAATGAAGGAAAAAAGTGGCCGCCGCTATGGTTTTGACAGAAATTAAGCAAACATGGGCACCCAAAACTTCTAGGAAAAACTCTTTCACATGAAACAGTCAAAAAATGATGGTTTTTGTGGGACGAAAGAAAAGGTCAGAAACACGACCTATTTTTTCACGTGGGTTCGATAAACAACCCTTTCCGGGTTTTAATGGCAGCAAAAGATCGAAAAATCCTGAGGCAGTGTGGCTGGTAACGTCCATCCCTATTGATTCAACTGGCAGTTTGGTAGGTTTCTTACTGGATTGGCGTTGACAGAATTTGCCTCCTGTATCTTCTTGTATGATACGTGAAATCCATAGAAAACCATCATTGTAAAGTGCGTCAGCTGATCTATCTCATGAAACATGGCCATGTTCTGATGGCAGGCAGATAAATTTCCTCGAGGTTATACCGCGGTTTTGGTGCATGTTTGTTATCGGGTTTGTATGCCTGGCTTTTGCTTAAAGCCTTCATGTCATTTCATGTCTGTTGGTTAAACCATGGTTCACCCATCATTTTTCCCCGTTGAACCTCCAATTTCTGTTGGTGAAAGCTCCAACTGAACCGTTGACCGCGCCCCTAGTCGCCTTTAGGCCGCTGTGCGGCAGCGGACATCCCTGACGGCTCAGTGGCTTGGAGAACCAGATTTTTTTTACCGGAATCGTGGGTGATATGGTTACCAGGTTACCAAGAATATTAATATCAACCAATGCCTGGTTGATATGGAACCATATCTGGAAATCTAAACTAGCCTGATCCAAGTTAATCCTTAATGATTACCCGGTTTACGGATTAGCGGTTTACGGATTAGCCCGCGGACCGGGGCACAGGTTCCACATTAAGTATTTAAAATTAAAGGTTTTGGGGCCTGCTTTCTTTCAAACAGCATTTACCTTTCGGCCTCAGCAAATCCAAACCCCCGGGAAGCAGAAATCAGCCCGAAAGTGCTTAAAAGGGCTTTGGCGGTGGACTTGCCAGAGCAAACCCCTTTTAAGCAGAAATTTAAATCAGGCCGAAAGTGCTTAAAAGGGCTTTGGCGGTGGACTTGCCAGAGCAAAGCCCTTTTTAGCAGAAATCAGGCCGAAAGTGCTTAAAAGGGCTTTGGCGGTGGACTTGCCAGAGCAAAGCCCTTTTAAGCTGAAATCAGGCCGCAAGTGCTTAAAAGGGGTTTGCTCGGTGGACTTGCCAGAGCAAAGCCCTTTTAAGCAGAAATCAGGCCGAAAGTGCTTAAAAGGGCTTTGGCGGTGGACTTGCCAGAGCAAAGCCCTTTTTAGCAGAAATCAGGCCGAAAGTGGTTAAAAGGGCTTTGGCGGTGGACTTGCCAGAGCAAAGCCCTTTTAAGCAGAAATCAGGCCGAAAGTGCTTAAAAGGGCTTTGGCGGTGGACTTGCCAGAGCAAAGCCCTTTTTAGCAGAAATCAAGCGAAAGTGCTTAAAAGGGCTTTGGCGGTGGACTTGCCAGAGCAAAGCCCTTTTAAGCAGAAATCAGGCCGAAAGTGCTTAAAAGGGCTTTGGCGTGGACTTGCCAGAGCAAAGCCCTTTTAAGCAGAAATCAGGCCGAAAGTGCTTAAAAGGGCTTTGGCGGTGGACTTGCCAGAGCAAAGCCCTTTTTAGCAGAAATCAGCCCGAAAGTGCTTAAAAGGGCTTTGGCGGTGGACTTGCCAAAGAGCAAAGCCCTTTTTAGCAGAAATCAGCCCGAAAGTGCTTAAAAGGGCTTTGGCGGTGGACTTGCCAAAGAGCAAAGCCCTTTTTAGCAGAAATCAGGCCGAAAGTGCTTAAAAGGGCTTTGGCGGTGGACTTGCCAGAGCAAAGCCCTTTTAAGCAGAAATCAGGCCGAAAGTGCTTAAAAGGGCTTTGGCGCTGGACTTGCCAGAGCAAAGCCCTTTTAAGCAGAAATCAGGCCGAAAGTGCTTAAAAGGGCTTTGGCGGTGGACTTGCCAGAGAAAAGCCCTTTTCAGCAGAAATCAAGCCGAAAGTGCTTAAAAGGGCTTTGGCGGTGGACTTGCCAGAGCAAAGCCCTTTTAAGCAGAAATCAGGCCGAAAGTGCTTAAAAGGGCTTT